GCTGTATACTTTTTTTTTTAATGACAGGTTAAAATTTTTCTAAAATGAGAAAAATTACATTGTAGCTACACTACTATGTTTTAAAAATCTACGGAATTCACAACGAGGTACCTATTAATCTTCTGTTTTAAGGCAAAATGAAAAGTAAAGGATTGTAGCTTACTATTAGTTATATCTCATACCTAAATTAGTATATATCATGGTGGTATTGATTATAGTCACTTAACTACATTTTTCTTTTCCCCTCAACAAATGGTGAGACCTGCTTCCAAAACCTGAATGACTCTCTGCACCCTTATCCAAACACGGATCAATTCTTCTTCATCAGTCTCCTTCCCCCATATTTGAGGGACATCACCAGTGGACCAGAGCACTTTTCTTCTTGGGGCCAACGCGGAACCTCAGAATCCTTCTCAATAAAGGTAACCACGACAAACCAATCTAAGTTTGCAAACAGAATGGAAGCTCTTATCAAATGTAGTGTTGTGTATTATATAGTGTCCTGCAGATACTATTTTTCATTGGTATAAGCAATGAAAATTGTTATAGACAAAGTGCAAGTAGCTCATTCCTGCATTCTTGATTCAGATCATGTCTTATATTCCCAAAGCTCCTTTAGCAGTATTAGTACCAAAGAGTCTTCAGTGAATATCCAGCTTCATCAGTTTTATCAGATGCCACTGACAGTATAGAGCACAGGTCTTGAAATCGGTCAGAAACGAAGATAAATCAATCACTTTTAACTTCGTGTGACTTTGTTCACATCGCTTCTCATCCTCATCTATAACGTGAGGTTAACATCATCTTATTCAAAGAGTATTGAGGAGATTAAATTAGTTAATATGTTAATGTGATGAGCTAAGTATCTAAGATAGAGCATTTCCATAAATAAACATTATCCTCACTTCCTCTTTCCTCTTAATGGTTTTGCTGGTAGACAAGGTGACACATGTAAAGCAATGAAAATATTAACCTGGTTCTTATAAGAGCAATAACCTCTCTCGCTCTGCTGTCAATAATAAAAATGCAACCTATGGGGCAGTCAGTATACTTACTACATACTCTTTGGGTGAGCCTCTCAGGCTTATAAAAATGTGAAAGAGTAAGAGAAACTGAGGACTGTGTTCTTAACAGCACTTAATTTATTGATAGGTATGTAAAGAGAAGTAGCCATAAAGGTGGTGATAACAGTCCACTAACTATCTTGGGAAGTGTTAAAATAAGAAAAATGATTCTCAATATATCTATTGCATGAAGTAACCAAAAACATGGTGATAACAGTCCAATAACTATCTTGAGAAGTGTTGAAATAAGAAAAATGATTCTCAAATGTATCTATTGCATGGTGTGAGAAATCCTGAACAAGAATGAGAATGGTAAAGTATTTGTTTTTCTGATCCTGTTACAGAAGCATGATTATAAGATAAATAAATGCACATTGCAGTAGGCACATTCCATGGCCCGAAGATACTTCTTAATGATGTTTCTCATAAGATCTGTGTAAAAACTAAAAATGTATAAAAGTGATTCTTATTATAGGTGTTGTCTTCAATAAAAAAGGAAAACAAAGGCATCCTGGAGAAAAGCATACACTGATAGAACTTACTGAATGCATACCTGGAGAATTACTGAAAATCAGAAACTTTTCAAGAAGTCAAAGTTGAGCATGTTAAAATTTTCAGAATCTTAGGACCACTGTGCTGTATGATGGTGTCCTCTGCATTCAACTGCAGCATCTATGAAGAGTCAAAGACTGACTGTCACTGCACATTAAATCAGTGTATTCTCTTCTCTCAGTTTTTAAAAACCAAGTTTTTAAAAATCTCTATCTTCATTTAGGCACAGAGAAGGCATTTAAGTGATCACTTTATTAATTGGCTTTTTTTTTTCTGGTCATGCCTTTCCAAGTACCTTGGAAGCAAGATTCCAAGGCAGAAATGAAAGTAATGGTGGCTTTGTTGTTATCCTGAGCATTTAATACTAGAGTGGCATTAGTAATACAGCAGACTGAGAAACATTAAGTGCTTTTTTTTTCCATTCTTGAATTTGGTGATTCTTGAAGAACAAATTCTGGTTCTATGTTTTGTCTAATTTAGATTCCCCTAGCTTCTATTGAGTATAAAATGAACTGATTTCAGTTTGTGAATTCATTTTTTTACAATCAAGAAATAAGTTACCTGCTGAAAGAATTCAGAAATGTTAACAACTTTAGGCATTTTTTAAATGCATGTGTGAGAGTATTTAAAATTAACCTTCATAGTAATTAAGCTCTGTAGAAATAGAAATTGTTGATAGTGATAGCTTAGAAAATTAAACCTTATTAAATAGTATTAATTAGGGCACATATTGTACTCCATTAGTTTTAGAATTTTTTTTCCTTTATTGGAAAATGAGTTTTTATGTGATTGATACTGTGAAAAACACTAAACAAGAACAACATATACTTCACTTCACTCTAAAGATCATTCATGTATTTATAAATTTATTAATCATCTATTGAATGGCTACTGCGTGACAGATACCAGAAGAAAATGGTTTCTTTTCATCTCAGGTTTTATCTGGCTTCTAATAAATTGGTAGCTCTAGGAAATGCTGCGCTTCTTAATATTTGGCAGCTTTTAGCTCCATTTGCATACAATTTACATATTTTAAAGTAAAAATAGAAATTTATAATTTTCTAAACTTACTTTTAATTTTAATATGCCAAATGATGTTATTCTCAGACTAAGTTATTAAGATTCATATACCCCATTTAGAATGTTCCTCCAGACTATGCTTTCTTTTTTTTAGAGGGTATTTTGTTTTATCTATTTAAGGTGTTACCTTTATTTGTATTTTGTTTGTAGATACAGATCTACAAATTGATATTATCACTGAGCTACTACATTCATATTGGGAATCAAATCTGTCTCTCTGAGAATTCTGTATCGATGATACTACTAGCTTATAATCATAACTGACATTTATTTATTTATTTATTTGTTTACTTACTTACTTATTTTTAAGTAGGCTCCATGCCCAGCATGAAGCCCAGTGCAGGGCTTGAACTCACAGAGATCAAGACCACAGCTGAGATCAAGAGTCAGACACTTAACTGACTGAGCCACCCAGGTGCCCCTAAAATCAACTTTTAGATTTAGGAATGAATGAAAGCATATTTGCTAGAGATGATAAGCCAGGAATTGTTTGGGAAATGGCTGCAGTTCATTTTAAAGTTCTTAAAATACTGTCTCCCCCCATATGTGTTTTCTTAATTTTTCAGTCCTGACACGTATTACCTCCACTTTGAGCAATAAGTTAGTTATTACAAATACCAAATTTTATTTCTGTAAGGTAATACTGAGCTTTGTCAAAAACACTGTTTTGCCAAGATATTAGTTATATGTCACTAGACTACAAGCATTACTTTATCTATTTTGATACAAGAGCAAAAATTGATGTTTCTAAACTGTATTTAGTTTTCTGCTTTCTAGATTTGATAGTGTCTAATGTACGCTACTGTTTCCTTTCACAGATACAATTTTAAACACAGTAACAGTGTAAGAATAAAAATACATTATTCTATCATATTTCTTAGAACATCACATAACATCAGATAGGTGCTTTTATTCAAATACACAATCGATTGTGGATCACTACATCAAAAACTAATGATGTATTGTATAGTGACTAACATAATAAAATTAAAAAAAAATCAAATACACTTATAGTAATTAGGCCCCATTTGGACTTTTCCTAGACTGAACTCTTGAGGCCTCATCAGTCACAATTTGTTTGGATGGTGATATTTTTAGTGCCATGACAGTTGCACTTATCTTGTGTAAGAAGATGCTCACTGCGTTATCAGCTATATGATGACACAGTGTAGGAATGTTGGATTAGTAGTTCATAATCAAAGCTTTCCTCATAGGTTACACAAAGACTACCTTAGGAACTGAGATATATAAGCTTACTTCTTTGTCCTTTCGTTTTCTCAATCCTGAAATTGGGATACTTGTGCTGTTTCCTATTCTGGAATAATTCAGAGTTCTTTTTTTTTTTTTAATTAAGGGAAAAACCGATTCCAAGGCTTATAGTCTTATAGTACTGTCATAATAAATAAAAAGAAATGCCAGGTTTTCTTTGTCTATATCCATAAGCCTATTTCCAACAATTCCTTATTCCAGGTATTAAATTAATAACAAAGAAAAAAATTTAAAAGCCACTCTTTATTGCACATTTACAATATATTTGACAACCTCTGTGTTAAACAAATCACTAAATTGGTTACATTTTGGACATGCATTGCTCTTTTAAACTACTGAAAATAAGTAAGTATTTTATTTCTTCAGGTGAGTCATCCTGCAATTTGGAAAGTATTAATATATTTCTCTATTGGGGGTCTCAGGCTTTTTGCATTTACTATTCTGTTCTTATAATAATTAAAAATGTTGCACTAATGCTATTATTAGGTCTGTATAAAGAATAGCCAGCTTTTTTAATAGAACAGGAAATAGGTAGAGATAATTGGAAACCAAAACTGAATATACCCTGTTAGATTAGTTCCCAGAAAATATAATTTATCTCTAATGCACATAATTTGCCTAAGAATAAGTGGTGATTGACTAGATATTTTTTCAGCAAAGATACTATCTACCCAGATTATCATTTCATTTTGTATTTTTACTACTTTTCAGTGGAGGGAAAACCTCAGTCTTTACAATTAAGTATAAAAGCGGTATTGTAAAATCAGAGCCCATAAATCCTAAACCAGAGGAATTATGAAATTAATTATGAAATTAATAGTGCATTGTTGCTAAGTGCTAGACAGACTAGCTCCTGAATAAACTGTAGTTCGTTACGTGAAAAACATTAATAAATAAGTCCATTATTCTCATACTTTCTATAAACACCAATTTATATAATGCAACATTATAAAAACTTCAAAGCACATTTTAAAAAGGTTTAATTGCTATCTACATCATTTGTGATTGTTCAACTGTAGTAAGGTATGAAAATTCCTAAAACGGAAAGAAAAAATAGCAAAGAAAGCAGAAAACAATGAATCCAATGACCCAGTTCACTGAATAAATATAGATGATCACCATATCCATGTCAAACCACCATCCACGGCTATCATCCTCAAAGTGCAGATAATCCATCCTATGTGCACCATGTGGGAATTGCCTTCTTGTAACTGGAGCTGCACGTCTGTGGAAACCTACAAGATGCATGAACACATTATTTTGAAGCTCACGGAATTCAGTTACGTGCTCCGAAAGGAAGCTGCATTATGAACACTGGTACCATGAATAAGAGTGTATCTTGATTTCACAGAGTGATATGTTGTATTCCTGACAGTTTTTATTTTTTCAGTGATAACCAACTCTCAGAAGTCTCTCTTAGTTATGGTTTTAAGGGCAGGGTCAGTAAAATTAGCAAAGAGTATGGGGTGTGGAGTCAGGAGACTCCTTGTTCTGTCTGTCACCTTCTTGGGCAGGTCTCTGATTGCTTATCTGTACCATCTAATTACTTAATCACAATTGATCCTCACAAATTTTTAAATTATTTCCACAGGAGAGCAATTTCTAAATTTGAACTTCATTCAGGTTGTATTGTTGCAACTGCTCTTTGTAACTTGTGATCACCAACTTAACCTTGTATCTCACACCTCGAGAATTTCATTGGTATTTGAACAAAATTCTATGAGAAAAATATCTCTTGTTTTAGCACTGAATAAACTGGACAAAAGGTACAAAGTTGAAGAAATATAGCTTTAATTTTTATAAATTTTAAAGCACGGGCTTACTTAAGGAGATGGGTACGTAAAAAGCAAATCTCAAAATCTCCAATCTCAACTGTAGCAACAACCTTGAAGAAAACACATTGCGTATGTGAAGGTGGAATGTTAGGGGTAAGTTGAGATGCTACCAGGTACTTCTGCAATGGACATAATTCTACTCCCAGTCTGATAATGATTCAGGCCTCTCTAGTTTTCACATACAGAAATAGTTTGTTCTCTGTTATATTCCATCACATTGTGTTTAGACTGGCTCTAGCTGGTTTTTCATGCTCTTGACTACTCTTTGCTGGGGATGTCAAGAGAGGCATGAGCTCTAAAACGAAAGCACTGCTTAAGAACATAGGAGAAGGAGAAGACCATTCCAAGAACATGGGAGTACATAAATAAAATAGAACCTGGAAGGGCCAATTTATATTTCACTACAAGGTGTTTCTTTGTAAGAACCCTTCTTCATATGGTCAAAGTCACATCAGTGGTTGAAAGGAAATGAAAAATGCAACCAGTCATTTTACTGGACTCCAAGTTTCAGAAAATTATAAAACCAACCAACCAACCAACCAGCCATCAAACAAACAAACAAAAATACAAACAGACCAAAAATCCCCTAGTGTATCCTTTTGCCACTCAGGGCTCTGAAACTCAACTAGTGTACTACAGAAGACAACTGGACCCGATCATAAGTGTTTGGTAAAGGGACTAGTTATACCTGGAATTAATGCAGTCAGTTAGTATTTAATAATGGTAGGTGTGAGTTTGGTGGTGTTTAAGAGTGTGTACTTGTCAGTGCTTACATTGTGGTACCAGAAAAACCACTGGCCTCGGCTGAAGGAAACGTCATCTGTATGGATAAAGGGAACATCTAGTGGAAACACCAACATAGGATCCCTCCCAGGCAGTTGGTGGCTCTTTGATCTCAGTTTTTAGCTGAGGTTGAGCGCTACCTTATAGCACAAGGAAACCCATGTGCAGGGGGGACTCTACAAAGGGTGCAACAGACCTTTCCTGGGGTGGAGTCCTAAATGCAGAGCATTTCAGGAAACCATAAAACCACCAAGACGGTCCAAGTGCTGAGACCTGATTTTAGCTGATCAGGCCAAATGGCCATTTGCATTGCTCTGTGTTTATTTTGTGGATTTTTTGGGGCCGTATAGTGAAGGTAGTCACCAGTCAGTGCCTGAGGGTGAAGATCACCAAGACCGGAAGCAGCCTACAAGTCCCAAGCGGATGTCTTGTAGACATTAGGATCCTGGTTCCCAATTCTCAGGCCAGGGTGATCAGAGGGTGATAGGATCATTTTGTGGGACCCCAGTGGTTGTAAGGTTGGGTGAGGATATCCTTACAGATCAAAAGCCCTGGGGCTTCACCCTCAAATGCTACTGCCAGCAGCCCGCTAGCCATAGTTGCACCAGCTTCCACGTGGACATCTCTGACAGGTTATTTTCCAGAGTGGTGGCTACTGTTTGCACAGAAGCCAGTGCCCCCGAAAGCTCACAGTTATGTATTGTACAGGCCAACCACTGACAGGACAGACTCCTCTGGGGTGGCTGGTGTTGGACTCCAATGTGGCTGCAGCCCCACTCTTAGCTCTATGTGACATGTGCACAAGTGTCACCCCCAGGGGTACAAAGGCCTTCCAAACACTCTGACACAGCCTTCCTCCCATCTTATTAAGGGAGCCATTCTTCCATATGGCTTCCCTAGACAAAGCTAACGTCCCATCTGTCCTGAGACCGAGCTGGCTAGTCATGTTTCAGACACTATAACCTCTATTTTTAGGCAGTGAAGTAGACCCTTCCACTCGGTCTACAGAAGCTATCGGTAGATCTACACATAAAGCAATCTAGAAGAAGGACAGAGTACGGCAGGAGAGATGTGGAGGGAATTTAGGAATAGATTTATGTATCTACAGAGAGATACACGATAGAACCTAGGGAGGTTGAATGCAGATAGAGATGGAGATACAGATGTATTTTTGTATATACATCTAACTGGCAAATATGAGAATTCTTTTCTTATTTGCAAACTCTGAACACATATGTGTTGGAAAAGTGGGCCTTAATTGAGGAAATCCAAACTCTCTCATCTCCCGGGGTATAATGTTAATATTTTGACGCAGAATAAAAAAACAATGAAATAAACTGCTGGCACCCAGCTTAAAAAAAAAGTGATAGTTCTTATGACTAAATGAATATTTTTCTGAGAAATATTACATCTCCTTGTGAAATACTGTCCTTTTTCTTTGTAATATGTCCATGCTAACTATTTAGAGCTTGAGTATAAGCTTGCCCAATGGCAACCTCTTTTTGTTGGCTGACCAATATGTAGTTGCAAAGGCTTCTTAAAAAAATCCAATTTTCAAAGGACCGATAATCTGATCGTAATCTTTGGTTTTTACTTACTAATGGCTACTTTAAGTATTTCTGTGCTTATTAATGTTAGTGAGTGGGGACAATAAATAAACTATGGAAAAGCTATAATTTTGGTAGCTGCTAGTAACTCTGGTGGTGAAGGTTCTGTGAGGCTCAAGCTTGAACCAGATTCTGGTTCATCCATTTTAACAATGGAAGAACATTAATACTGTGCTCTAGATGAGGCTGCTTATTTTGATGGCAAGGTCACAGTCACTTGGGTAGTATCATTATTTAAAGTCAAACTTCTTTGATCAAGGACAATTCTAGATTACTGTTTATATGTTTAATATTTTAAAATAAAAACTGTACATATTTAAGTTGCATGGACATCTTAATTTTTGTAATCAATGAACATGCAATAGCTTTCCATTTAGTTGTGTCTTTTCCAATTACTTTCATCAATATTTTATAATTTTCAGTAAATTATATTTACTTGTATTATGTAGATTTAAAACATGACATTAAAAAGGATGAGATAACAGGGAAATGATATTTTAGAATAAATTAGAGGGCCATCTTTCAAATAGGTTTTTAATAATTCATAATTTTTTGGCTAACTTCCTATCACATTTTATTTTTTAATTATTAATTTTTATAGCTTATAAAACATTTACAATAGGATGATGTTTCTTCCCCTCTACTTTTTTTGTTTGCTTTATTATTATCTCTAATGTGATTTCTTTATAGAATTATTAAGTCTCTTGTATACTTTGCCCTGGTATTTATCTAAAACTAGATAATATAATGTAAAATCCATTTAACTGCACATATGCAAACTTCAACATATTGTAACACATAGAAAACACACTAATCAAGTCAGCCCTTCTGTTATTAGACTTCCAGTTTTCTTTAGCCAACATTACATACCATCATAACATGTAAGTAAGGATGCCACTGTTAGTCTTCACTCAATATTAGTAAAGCTTAACTTCTCTTCTGTTTAGATAAATAGAATATATATTTTTATGTTCTCTTCCCACATTCCAGTGGATTGCTTTGTACCCAACTTGGGGGGTATTCTTTTTTGGAGAGTATATTAAGGAGATTTCAATTCCAACAGTTTTTTAAGACTATCTAACTACCATTCTCTAAACTGTAGTCATTATTTTAAGAGAAAAAGGTGTCTTTTTGTTGGTGTAGGACAGAGAAGTGGGAAGAGTTTTTCTCACATTCAGAAATTAACCTAACACATAAACACAAATATTCCCAAAGTAGTTGATACTCCTTTTCAAAGTCTTCTTCACAAATAGAGGCCGGAGAACAGGTAGCACTGTTATTGGAAATTATTATTATATACTAAAGTGATTTTTCTGACCTAAAGGAATATTTATAACCTTAGATGTTTCAGATTCAAGTTTTAGTTGCTTGGGTCAAAGGAAATGATGGCATTAATGGAATAGCCCTAGAAAAAAGTAGGGCTAAGACATGGCACAAAAGATGAAGCATTATGAGTAGGGAGATCCTGTGTGGTTTCCCCAGGACAGTCTGAGTTTGCCTTTGTTGTCCTGGTATAACCACTAAGAGAGCCCCTTTCATTCTAAGAGTGTCCTCATTAATGCTAATTTTCAGCTTTGAACACCAGAAAGTGATGGTGACCCAGGATGGTTCAGGCACTAAGTTTTTACAGGTAAGATGCATAAGGATCATTGCTTGTTTAATATTAATTTATTTTTTTCTTTTTTGAGAAAGAGAAAGGGAAAGAGGGAGGTGGAAGGGAGGGTCAGAAAAAGAGAGAGAATCTTAAGCAGGATCCATGCCCAGAGGGGATCCTGGTGAGGGGCTCCATCTCATGACCCTGTGATCATGACCTGAGCTGAAATCAAGACTTAGATGCTTAACCCACTGAGCCACCCCGGCACCCCTTCAATTTTTTTTAAGTGGGGAGTTGGTGAGTAGGTTTTTGTAACAATTTTGGGATTTCCAAAGCTATAAATTGGATGGGATGATTGCAATTTCTCAACCAAAATGTGATGAAACGAAAATCACCTCATAGATGTTGTTACTTGG